TTTATATTTATATTTATATTTATATTTATATATTTGTATTCATATACTTATATTTGCGTATGTGTCTAGATTTACAGTTATACTTATACAAATGTGTACATACAGATTTTGGGAATTTACTTTTGTGTGATATATATGATATATTGATATATAGTAAGTTATATTTAGAAAACTCAACTTCATTTTTTTGGAGTATATCAAGCTGCAATTGGCAATGGTATTTTAAGAAGAAAATTTTATTCGTTCGATGATGGTGCGTGTGATTGGATGGATGTTGGAGGAAAGTAGCTAAAAGTGCGTTTTTTACTGACTTGGTAGTTTCTTTTTTCGGTAGTGCTGGGCTATAACGTCCGTTTTGTGACACTTTTGAAGCCATTAAAAGTAGTTCCATGGCTGCTCCGTATCTTAATGTTACTGGCATTTGATTATATGTGCAGTATTTCATTCATGAAACGTTTACCAGTCAAGTGAAATTCTTTTTATAGGCGGTCAAAAGTACAGTCGACGTTGTAAGTCATCATTCCAAACTTTCGATGCGATAAATGACTTTTTACGAAAGTCATGAGGGTAGTAGCCGGTCGACGTATATACCAGGGAGGGACGAAGCTGTTGATGAGGTTATGCGAGAATGGGAGCATAGGTTGAATCTTTTAAACTATATTTTCTTGATCTCAATTAGTGGTTTACTGACAGCCAACTTCGTTTTTTTCATTTTTAAGTGTATGTTTTTTTTTCTTTGAAGTATAATCTTAAACTAGTTTGTTGTGCTGCTGATGCGATAAAGAAAAGCAGGAGTTTGCGATGTTCATGCAATTGTTGATTTTCAGGTATTCTGTTTATGAAGACGTAACGATATTTATTTCAACTTTCAATGTGAATGGTAAACCCCCACCGTCGTCCTTTCCGACGTGGTTATCATACAAAGGCAGAGCACCGGATTTTTACGCTATCGGGTATGGCATTTTTATTGTACAATTTCCTTTATATTTGCGTTTATAATGATTAGAAAGTGCTGTAGGCCGTCGGAATTAGTTCTTGTATAGGAGTTTAGATAACAGATAAAACTAGACGAGGCAGGCAACAAATTAATGTCTAGTATTCATAGATACCTCGTAATGGTTTCTAACTGTAAAATAGTATGTTGTATGAAACTGTTATTTCCACTCTCTTATTAGAATAATTATCTGTATCTTTTTTTGTTTAAGTAGATCATTATTTTCCATATTACGGATAATTACTGGGGTGACTGAAGAAATATCTAGATTTGCCGGCATCTTCACTTTTTTAATTTCAGTTTACAAGAGATGGATTTGAGTACCCAAGCCTTTTTTTATGACGTTTCTTCGAGACAGGATGAATGGATAAAATCGATTAGCAGGTCCTTACCCCAGTCAGCAGAATACGAAATGGTTTGCAACTAGTTTTATTTCCTCATTTTTCTTAATTTTGCAAAAGAAATTTTTATAGGATTTACCAGCATTTCTTCTTTTGTTACAATTACATTTTATAGATCGAGGTAGTTCGTTTAGTTGGTATTATGTTAGTGATTTTTCGGCGCAAAGATAGTCCTGTAAAAGTTGACAGATCAAGTGTCTTTTCTGCACGATTGCCAACTGGCATACAGTTGATCAGTCGAATGGGCAATAAGGTTACAGTACAATCACTTATAACTTTCTCCTTGCTCAAAAATTCTATTCATCCGTGCAACAACCGTACTCTTCCAGGGTGGGGTTGCAGTTAGTATGCAAATTAACAATTCGTCGGTATGCTTCGTAAACTCCCATATGGCAGCAGGAAACGAAGAATTAGACAAAAGAAATCAAGATTACAGGTGGGTTTTTTCAAAATTTTGGTTATTAACTGTTTAACTAAACCTCTTCTTTATCTGC